AGAAGAATTCGCAGAAGAAAAACACATAAGCATAAACTTTCGGCGCTCCGCGCGGATTTCCCGGATCCGCGCTGGGGCCCCCTGGCGGCGCCTCCCGCGCCGCGCTCCGCGCGCCAGTAAGGGGGCCCAGCGCAAGTCCAAGAAATCCGTGTGGACCGTCGAAAGTTTGTGTTCATGTGCGGACCGTGCGGGTCCCGGGAGGCGATTCTCGTTCGTTCGACACGTCGCCAGCGTGTCGGGCAGACACTGCTTCGACACTCGTCGGGGTGCTCGAAATTGTTTCTGGGGTGTAGTCCAGAAGTACGACGGGAACGACATGCGGCGAGCCATGTCGTCGTGATCAGCCCCTGATCCACAAAGGGGACATGGGAGGGGAGACGACCCTGGCGTCCTGGCGGGAGGGAGCCCCACAGCGGGTGGCAGGGCGGCCCAGGTCTGGGTGCAGCGTCTTCCTCCTCTGCTGCATGCTGACCGTCTTCACGCGGCTCGGCAGCGTGGCAGACCCCTCAGCTTTGCCCATGGCTCATGGCCCATCTGAGCCTCTGCCCGGAGCTTCCGGCTCCCTGGTTATGGTTGTGGTCGCCGCTTGCCTGGTTATCGTATAGTTGCGATCGCCGCCTGGCTGCCGAGCACTGCGTGCCAGAACAGGGGCGAGGGTTCGAGGTGCAGACTCTTTTGTTGATGGCGGTGGTTGAGGGGCGCACCGCCGCAGCGATGCTTGCCAGGGGCGGCTGCCCATGCTTCACATGACAAGATGCACTCCGTCCAAAGCGCGCTGCAGGAGTCACTTCCAGGAGACTCCTGCGCCCTCCGCCCCCCTCTGAGAATTGTGCTGAAGAGGGAGGCGATACGACACCCGTCACACACAAATATATTTTGATACGTATATACATACATAGACAAGACTGCATTGGCGCTTCGTGCCATGCACCTTGGTCCTTGAAGTTTGGCATGCAGGCGGAATGGCAGGAAGGTCAAACAGACAATTTAGCGATAATTCCTGGTTGCCTCGTCCGGCATCGCCGTTGTGGTAATGGTATTCGTTATCCTTGCTCCATGTTTCTATTTCCTCATTCTCGCCCTACCCTGCGAATTCTTCCCCATCCTCCTCAGCTCTTTCTGCGGAGGATCCTCCTTGGAGAGCCTCTGGGGGCCTCACGGAAGTTTTTCAAGCCTTCTTGAGGCCTCCTGGAGGCCTCCTGGGCGTCTTCGGGGGGGCCTTTAGGGGCTTCCTCGGGCCACCCTGCCTCCAACCGTGGTCTCCCTGAACGACCGGGTCATGACTTGGAATGCTTCGGAGGGCGTCTTTCAGGAGGGGAAGAAACACACAGACACAATTGTTCGTCGATTCCCCGGAAAATATGGGAAACTATGGGAAGTGGGGGAGAAGACAAAAACCCAGAACATATGCGAAAATATGGGGAATCCTTTTATTTGTATGTGTTAATTTGTGTGTCCCAGGGCCCCTTTCAGTCTTGGGGCCATCGTGGGACAGCACTCCTACGCCACACTCGGCACGTCACGTACTCTTGTTCGCCGGCGGCGAGGCAGAGGGCCCGCGCTGGCGAGCAGAGCGACACGGGGCAGCGCCGGGCGAATCCAACCACCGCGCAGGAGGGCGGGGAGAGGACGACGGGGCGCCGGCCGGGGGAGGGGACCGAGACCAGCACGCCACAGAAAGACACACACACACACACGCACACGCGCACACACGCACAGACACACAGACACGCACACACACACACACACACACGCACACACGCACGCACACACACACACACGCACACACACAAACACACGCGCGCACACACACAAACGCACACGCACACGCACACACGCACGCGCACGCACACGCACACGCACACCCGCACACGCACACGCACGCGCAAACGCACACGCGCACGCACACGCACACGCACACGCACACGCACACGCACACCCGCACACGCACACGCACGCGCACACGCACACGCGCACGCACACGCGCACGCACACGCACACGCACACGCACACGCACACGCACACGCGCACGCACACGCGCACGCACGCACACGCACACACACACCCACACCACACCCACACACACGACCACACGCACCGCACCACACACACACACACACACGCACGCACGCACACACACACACACACGCACGCACGCACGCACACACATACACACACACACACGCACGCACGCACACACACACACACACGCACACACACACAGACACACACGCACACACACACACACATACACACACACACACACGCACACACACGCTGCACTGACCCCAAGCCCCACATCTGCGACGGAGGGCCCGGGCCCGCCCGCCCCGGCGCCTCCCGGGCCCCCGCGCCCCCTGCGGACCCGGGCGCGGCCCGCCTCGCCTGGCAGAAGCTTACCAGCCTCGAGCGTACCCCTATCCCTAAGACTGACACGCCCAAAGGCGATGCCAATCTTAGGGAGTCGCCCTCGAAACATGAGGGAATCCCTAAGATTGGCATCGTGGTGAGGACGTGCCCAGCATAGGCATAGGGATATGTTCCAGGCTGGTAAGGGCCGGGCTGTCGGCGTGGCCAGCTCGTGGCCGCCCCCTCTCGCCGCCCGTTTGCCGCCGTCCTTGGTCACGATGTTCGATGTTCGATCGTGATGAGGCGATGCCGAAAACAGGGATGGGGATCTGTTCCAGGCTGGTGAAAAAGCAGCACGGCGGTGCGTCCGCCCGCAGAAGAAGTCCGGCGCGGGAGGCTTCGCGTCGGGCGTGTCGACCCTCCACCGGAGGAGAACTCAGAAACAGCCACAAAAAAGAGTCTGGGGCACGACTTGTCCCACTGTGTTGGCTATTCTTGAACAGTGTTGGTTCTGTTTGTTATTCAATCGCTTCGCTCATTCCGCCGGCCCATGATGTCGCACCGTGGTCGCCTGTCCGAGTGGTCGTTTGCAGTGTGGAGCTGCGGCGTCGGGAGCTGTGTAGTTGTCGATAAATGTGTTAATGTTTTTTTCATGGGGTTTCTAGGTGTTTGCAGTTTTTTGACGGCTTTGGTGCCATCGTGGGGGCGCGTTACCCGTGGTATCCCGCTGTGGGGCCGTTCGAGCCGGGAGAAGAGACATTTTATGCGATAGGGGAACACTCGTGTCGGAGGGTGGCGGGCTTTGAATGCTAACATTGGCTCTGTTATCGTCCTGATGTCCTCTGGCGTTGCGGACACCGGCGTGAAGGAACACTTTCTTGTGGCGTTTCTCTTACCATCTCTTTTCTAGTTGGACCGGAGGAGGAGGAGGAGGACGATGAGGAGGAGGAGGAGGAGGAGGAAGAGGAGGAGGAGGAGGAGGAGGAGGAGGAAGGAGGAGGGGGATGAGGAGCGATGAGGAGCGCCTTTGTCGTCGTCGTCGAAATCGCCGCCGCCGCCGCCCGCCGCCGCCGCCCGCCGGCGTCGTCGTCGTCGTCGTCGTGGAGGGTCGAGGCTCGAGGCTGGAGGCCGAACGCGGGGGAGGAGGACCACCCCGACACGCGTTTCCCAAGTCGCGTCTGGCTGGAGTCTTGGAGGCGTCCTGGGGGCCTCCTGAGGGTTTTTTGGGGGGCCTCCAGAGGGCCTTTTGGAGGCCTCTTGAGGCCTCTTGAGGGCATCTTGGGGGCCTCTTGGGGCCTTTGAGGGCGTCTTGGGGCCTCCCGGGGGCCTGGAGGAGGAGGAGGAGGAGGAGGAGGAGGAGGAGGAGGAGGAGGATGAGGATGAGGAGGAGGAGGGAGGAGGAGGAGGAGGAGGAGGAGGAGGAGGGAGGAGGAGGAGGAGGATGAGGAGGGAGAGAGGAGGAGGGAGAGAGGATTGATGATGATGATGATGATGATGATGATGATGATGATGATGATGAGATGAGGAGGAGGAGGAGGAGGAGGAGGAGGAGGAGGAGGAGAGGAGGAGGAGGAGGAGGAGGTGGAGGAGCAGGGGGAAGAGGAGGAGGAGGAGGAGGGGATGGAGGAGAAGGAGGATGGAGGAGGAGGAGGAGGATGGAGGAGGATGGAGGAGGATGGAGGAGGATGAGGAGGGCGGAGGAGGAGGAGGAGGAGGAGGAGGAGGAGGAGGAGGAGGCGGAGGAGGATGGAGGAGGAGAGAGGGTTTGTGGGCCCGCCGCCGTTCTCGGCTCGGGCGGCCTCGGCATGCGCCGCGCCCTCCAAGCGGCCCGCGGGGCAGAGCGCGCCCGCCGGCTGAGCGGACGGTCCGCGGCGGCGGGCTGGGGGCGCGGCGCGGGCGCGGGGAAGCATCTGCACGAACGAAATGGGCACGGAAAGAATGGGTACAATTCCCAACAGCAGTTCCTGTTCATTTTGAACAGGACTCGCCGTCCACGCCGCCGCGGCCTGTGTCCATTCGAGAGGGAAGGCCGCCTGCCCAACAGCGGCCGCTGTTGATGTGGGACGACACTTGTTGTTGGGCATTGTACCCATTTTTTCCGTACCCATTTCGGGCGTCCAAAAAGCAGGGGCCCCCGAGAGGACGGCGAGCTGCAGTCAAGCAGCGGCGAAGCGTCCTGGCACGCCTATCGATAGCCCTACCAAACAATGTTCTAAGAACTTTTTTTGTGGCTTCCACGAAATGGTCTTAGAACATTCCTGGCGGAGTTGGTCTTGTTTCAACACATCTGGTTTATGTTCTGAAAACATTGTTTTTGTGTTTCGAACAATTTGAGGTTCTAAGAAAAATTCGTGGTAGGACTATAGGAATGCTGGGACGGTCGGTCCCTGCTCAATGCAGGGGTGGTGCCACAGCCCTCGACAAAAGTGACGTCAAAGGTTGTGGGCGCTCCCCTTCAATGTCGCCCCCTCGCGACGCGTCGACGCCGCCCCCTTCGACGTCGAAGCGGAGCGAGAAACGCGGGCTGGGGCGGCGCGGCTCCGCGGTGCTAGGATGACCGGCATCGGAGAGGGGGCGCCAACAAGTGCTTCACACGCAATGCCACCGATACCTGGAACATCAGATATGCGAGCAGTTCGTGCGCGCCTTTGATGGGAGGCTCATTTTGGTCGAGGGTGGCAGTATGTGGTTGTCCCGGCCGTCAGACCAGCCTGCACGGTGGGAAAATTCGGCACAGCGTGCCGCGCCGCTGGATCTGGCTCACCAGGCTTCGGCGCGACATGCTGTCCACTTCCCAGCCCCCCAGCGTCAACGTTCGGAGCCTTTTTGCCAGCCTCCCGTCCCGCGGAGCGGCGCGAGACGCTATCCACTCGCAAGGCATAGCGTGCCGCCGGAGCCACCCCGGCACGTAGATTGCAAGTCTGGCCAGGGCATTTGCACAGGCAGTAGCCAATCAAATGCTGAACAACTGCCTCTGAGGGACCGTGGCCCCGTCCTCCACTCCTCCCATCGCCCAGGGAGGACGCAGAGGGCCCCAGGGATTTCTTCTTCGATCCGAGCCTCCTGCCCGTCCTCTCGTCGGGTGTCGCCCCCGGAGAGATGGTGGAGGCCGTGCTGCGCGGGGCCGGAGCCAACGAGCTCGCGTACCTGGCCGGCCTCTCTGCCGCGGGCTCGGCGCACCCACCAAACCACCCCAACCCAACCCGAAGGCTCAGATTTACCCTCGATGTCCAGTGGGGGGGGGTCGGGAAACATAGAAAAAACACATGTGGAACCCTTACACCCCCAACCCGAAATTCGGGTCTTCGGGTTGGGTTGGGGTGGTCTGGTAGGTAGTCAGGCGCTGCGCACTACTGCACCGTGCCGCAGACGCTCACGGGTGCGGGTCCGCTGTTCCGGGGCACCGTGAAGGACGGCCGGTTGTGTGAGAGTCCAGGGGCGCAGGCCAGAGGCAGCAGTGCGCTGGGAGTCAGGAGGGAACAAAAACACACAGACGCAATGGATCGTCGATCTCCCCAGAAAAACATGGGAAGATATGGGAAGTGGGGGGGAAGACAGAAGCCCAGAAAATAGAGGAAAAGGCGGGGAATCCTTTCTATTTGTGTGTATTTATTTTTGTGTGTCCCTGGGCCCCTTCAAGTCCAGAATCAGCATCAGCAGCGCGCTGCAATGGGAGGGTAGAGGCAGAGGATGAGGGGTCGAACCGAGCAGCGGCGAAGCGTCCTGGCTTGCCTATGGGCCCGCCAAGGCCTCAGAGCGAGAGATGTTCTCAGAGCAGTTCGGGCTGAGCCTGTCGTGTTTTGACTCATCGGGCTTGTGTTCTAAGAGCACGATTTGCGTTCTCAGCACATGCTGGTGTTCTAAAAGAACTTTTCGCGGCAGGCCTGTAGAAATGCCGGGAGGATCGGTCCCTGCTCAGTCTAAGGGGCGTTCTAAGAGGGGGGCTCGCTTATGGATCGATTTGGGTGCAAGCCTAAATTGCAAATTGCGGGGTGACGCGGCCATTTGGGTCGATAGCGGGTCGCACCATGGCAGCATGTTCATTGCAGCTTGATCCCAGCGATCGATCAGTCTGCTCGCTCCGCGGTCGTTTCGCACCCTTAGGCTGTCGAAGGTTGTCCCCGTCGGGGCCTTCGTGCCATTGGATTTCGTGCTAGACCCTATCTTCTGATTGGAGGGGGAGTGGGGGCGGTGGAGAAAAGCTCCCTGGGGGGGGGCAGAGGCACCTGGAGGAGAGATCGAGAGAGAGGGAGAGAGCGAGTGCGAGACAGAGCGAGAGAGAGAGAGAGGGAGGTCTCCGGAAGCTTACGCACGGAGAAGTTTGGATGAGACCCCCATCAGCCGCTCCATCAATTGCGCTTCTTCCACCTCCTCCCTCTCCTCCCCAACTCCCGCTGCCTCTGCTCCTCTCCTTCTAGGATCCTCCTCCCTCGCCTCTAAGATATTTCCTGGCGTGCCTCTGCTCCCGAAAGTGAGTTTCTGATACCCAGCATGTCCGTCGAGTAGAAGGAGGAGGACGACGATGAGGAGGAGGAGAAAGAGGAGGAGGAGCCCCTCGAATCTCACAGGACGAATGATACTTGCTCGCTCCCCCGTCCACCCTTCTTCGGGTCGCCCTCGCGGCGTGCCGATGGAAGGACTTCGCCGAGCAGAACCCGTTGCTCCGGGAGCAGATGCGCAACGTGGCCAAGAGGTGCCAGCGGTGCGGGAAGTCCAACGCGACGATCCTGCCGTTCTGCAACGGATGCGGCAACGATCTGAGTGACGCCCCGGAGGAGTACACCGAGAACGTCTGCATGGGCTTCATCTACGGGGTCGAGAGCACCGACCGAGGGCCACTCGGCCTCTCGATGCGCTCCGAGGACGGACAGGTGCTCGTCTACGACGACCTGCTGGCGCGGGGCTCCTGCCACCTGAATGCCATACCGGCCGAGTTCCACCTCCCCGATTGGCGGTACCTCCTCCGGAGCCCTTCCAGGGGCCTCGCACTCATGGCCCGATTCGAGGAGGCGTGCTGGAAGGTCACGCGCGAGCAGTTCTGGGAGAACCGGGCCTGGAGGGAGGCCACCTTCCGGGAGGGTGCCTTTGCCTCAGCAGAGGACTTCCGGAGCCAGATTTACGCCGGCGTGAATTCGGTTCCATCGCAATTTCAGATCCATCTGCAATACATCGCGCCGACGATCACACCAGCCGACTACCATGCTTTCCTGCTCGGGAAGCGCTTCCTCGTGAACAGGTGAGCGGCGTGGAACAACGGGGTCGTCTTCTCCGACATTGGCGCGCAAGTTGCCTGCGAGATGCCACGCGTACTTGGCCTCAACAACAGTTTTCTTGGAAACGCGCTGGAGACGCCCTTAATATGACCCCAAGACAAACGCCAATGCGAAATCAAACTGCGGGATTTGCGTCCCGCCCAGAATTTACGGTTGTCACATGTTTCAGGGGGGGAGCGTTTATCTCCTGCGTTCAAGCGATATTCTAGACGTTTCGCGTAACCCCTATCAGTTGTGTCTTTCGTTCGTCTTCCCTCCCTGCCGCGTTGTTGCCCTCTCGTTGCCCTTTTCCTGCGCCCCACTTGTGGCTTCTCGGCACGCGTCTTGCTTACGACCTTCTCGACGTTGCGCGGTTGGCTCCGCGTCACTCGCAATCAAAAACGTAACCCCTTATCAGCCCATCCAGAAACGATGCCCAGGCGAGTTGCTGTGATCAGGGACGTGGAGCAGCATGCAGTGCAATACAGGGCTAAGGAGGGAGGAGGAGGAGGAGGAGGAGAAGGAGGAGGAGGAGGAGGAGGAGGAGGAGGATTGGGCGGATGAGGAAGAGGAAGATGAGGGCTAGCAGCTTGGATGTTTCTCGGAGTCTCTTCGGATGGCTCTCCATAATTTCTTGTAGATCTCTTGGGGCGTCTTGCGGACCTCTAGGCGGTCCCAGGGGCCTTGTGAAGTGTCTGGGGTGCCTCGGGGAAGCCTCTTGAAGACATTTTGGGGGCCTCTTGGAGCTTCTGTGCACCTCTTGGGGCTCTCTTTGGGTTACTCTTGGGAGCCTTTGGGTCATCTTGGGGCCATCTCGGAAGAGCTCGATCAAAGAAGGGGAGGTTCCATATTTGGCCCCCCCCGCCAAAATGGGCCCACAACCTATGTAAGTTCCATGAGTCGTGCCTTCCCGCCGAGGCCGGTTTTGGACGCTCCAGTCGGTCGCGAAACGCCCCCTCCAGGTCCAGGGGGGTGGGGGGCAGGGCAGGGGCAGGGGGGAGCTCCCCCCCCCCCCCGAAGGGGAAGAGGGGGGGGGGGGGTTGGAGGAGGAAGCCCGCGAAACCACTCGCGCCCACAGGGGCTGCTGGGGTTGTCACAGCGCGTCAGGGGAGCGGGATCCCAGACCACGCCGGGCGGGTGTCTTGCCAGGATCGGCCGGCGTTTTTTTCGTCCGGGGCCCCCCAGGGGCCGCCCCGCGCGCGCGAACTAGAGATATTGTTAAGCAGTTACCGGAGATCTTAGCACGCCTCTGGCCCGTGGGGCCGGCGAATGAGGGCGCTCTGGGGGGGGGGTGAACGCCTCGCGAGCCCCCGCCCCCTGCAGGGGCTGCCGTCGCGGGGAGCTCTCGCGCCCTGCGAGCCCTGTGCGCCCTCGGGCGCGCTCACGGAGCAGCGAAGGCACTTCCCGGGCGCGGCGGTGTGTGAGCGCCCTCTGTCTCTGCAGCGGACTGCGCCGGCGGCCCGCGTACGCCGCGCCGTCGGCTCGTCGGTCATCTCGCGCGTGAGGCCCGCTCCTCTCCTCGTCGCCCAGGTGGCTGCCCCTGGAGTACATCACGGAGTCCCTGAGGGCTCTCGCGCAGGCTCCCGCCGGAGCTCTTGCCGACGCGCACCTCATGAGCATGGACGCCATCTTCTTACCAGCCTCGAACGTATCCCTATCCCTAAGACTGACACGCCAAAAGGCGACGACAATCTTAGGGATCCGCCCTCATAAAATAAGGGAATCCCTAAGACTGGCATCGTGATGAGGAGGTGCCCAGCATAGGGATAGGGATATGTTCCAGGCTGGTAATCTTCGAGGCCATCGCCCAGGCTGGAGGGCCCGTGTACGCCGAGGCACACGCCCGGGCCATCCGGCGCTACAACGCCACCCACAGGAGGTGTGCCAACTGGCGGCCCGAGTTCTTCGACGCCGTGGTCCTCGCCCGGCACCCAGGCTAGGATGCAATTCCCGGGAGGTTCAGTTCTGAATCGGCGCTGGTCTATCCCAGGTCGAAGACTGGCCCACTTCTGCCCCCCCCTCTCGCTTGATCTGGCTACATTCTGGTTGATCTGGCTCAATCCAGGTAAACCTTGGGCTTAACCTTGCTTGATCTGGCATAAGGTCGGACCGAGCCATACGATCGAGGTCGGTTTGGGGAGGGTGCCCTGACGGTTCTTCGTGTTAGTTTGATGTTTTTGTACATCCTGGGGAGGGCACCCTCGAGTGATCTCATGGTTTGGGGAGGGCCTCATGTTCTTGAAATATGTTCCTCTGCCCTAGGTCCGAATGTAATGCGTAATGGCCCCTGACTCGGGCTGAGCCTCGAGAGGCCTTTAGTGTTGATCTCCCCCCTTTTCACTCGGCGGTGAATAGGACTGGTCCTAAAACCTCCTCCTTCTCCCCCCTCTCCCCCTCCTCCCTCTCCCTCCTCCTCCTCCTCCTCAGCCGGAGCTGTCGTCGTCGTTGTTGTCGTCGTCGTTGCGCGTCGGGTGCCGCGGAACAGTTAATTGGTTCCCCTCTATTGGTGGGGCCCCAGTCCTTCAATAAGGCCGCCGAACACATGATTAGTTCCCCCCCCTTAGGTGGTGACAGTCAACCGCTTCTCACCAACAATAACCCTTAAGACCTCCCAGGAGTTGCCCCCTGACCCAGGCCTGCGGCAGGAGCTGCCCGGGGCCTCCTGCGACGCCGCGCCCTCCGCGGAGGCGTCCCCCGTGGAGGTCCGGCCCCTGCGGGGCGAGGACGCGGCGGCCTGGAGCGGGGTGCAGGTGGCGGACCTGGAGACGGGGGGCGCGCACAAGGCAGGGGCAACGAGAGAGGTCCGGGGTCCGAGGTTTTGCAGCGCTGTCGATGGTCGTCTTCGGCGGCTTTCCAGCCTCGGGGTGCCCTCCAACGGCTGCGCCTCGCCGGGGGCGTTCCGGGGTTGCCCACATCGGCCGCTGGATACTCGAGTCGTGATCCGGAAACCAAGGAGCAACGTCAGGTGGTGGATAGCCTGAGGGGGGCCACCCCTGACCTTCCAGAGTGATTAAAAGTAGCCCTCGAGACCTATAGACCTATCTGGGCTGCCTGAAACCTCGACCGGAATTGTTGACGCTTCGCGAATCCCCACCAGCAGCCTGCCGACATTGGCGGCTGTGTTCGCAAATTCGCACCGTGCCGCATCCCGGACGCCGCTTCCGCTGCTTGACCGTTGCCTTGGAGCCGCCGACCAAAGAATCCCCACCAGCCCATCCAGAAACGATGCCCAGAGGAATTGCCTCGATCAGGAAAGTGGGCAGCACACAGAGGAAGCCAATATGAGACATCTTGGGAAATCTTGAGCCATCTTGGAGGTCATCTTGGGCTCTCCCAGGCGCTCTTGGAGTCATCTTAATCAGTGCCCCCCCCGCAAGAGGCCAACATGTAGCTAAAATCTTAGCAGAATCCATGATTTGGCATTCTCGCCGAGGCCTCTTGGAGCATCTTGGGTGCCTCTGGGGGGTCTCTTGGGGCCTCTTGGGGGTCTCTTGGGAGCCCCTTGGGGGCATCCTGGGGGCCTCGTGGGGCTTCCCGGCCACCTCTTGGGGCCCTCAAAGGGCACCCTTGGGGGCCATCTTTGGGCCATCTTGGGTGAGATCGATCACAGGAAGGGGGGTTACCAATTAGGCCCCCCCCCTCAGGAGGCCTAAATGGGGCCAACACCATGGTAAAACCAATGATTTTGGCTTCCTCGCCGAGGCCGTTCTGGACGCTCCGACGACTCGCGAAGCCCCCATGTCCAGGTCCACGGGGAGGGGGTAGGGGGAGGGGTAAACCCCTCCCCGAAGGGGAAGAAGGAGGGGTGGAAGAGGAAGCGCTCTGGGCTGGTGGGATTGAGATGTCGAGGACCTGGTGTTATTTTTTTTTGCCCTCCTGGAGGGCCAGGGACATCCACCCCCAAAATCGCCCATTGAACGCACAGAGGGGACTGTCCTTGATCACGTGCTCGATTGTGCCGAATCGGGTCGCATCGTCGCCAAAGGGCAGAAGTTCCAGGCGCATGCTGCTTATACCCACCCACACTCTGGTAAGGAGCAAGCTGGCGCCAATGTAGGCTCGCCAGGCTTGAACTGGTGGAGGTGAGATACCGACGCGCTGCGAAAACCTATGGGGACAACAAACAAAACAAATCGCCCAGGCACGTGCGCATGCGCCCTCGCGGGCGCCGGTCGCCGACCCGTCGGGCCGATGCTCCTCGCCGGCTCCGGGCCGACGCTTCGCCCCCCGAGCCGGTCCCTCCCTGAGACGGAGGGGGAGGAGGAGGAGGGGGAGGAGGAGGAGGAGGAGGAGGAGGAGGAGGAGGAGGAGGAGGAGGAGGAGGAGGAGGAGGAGGAGTCGCGCCCCAAAGGGCACGCGACACGTCCAACAGCAGATCCAGCATCTCAAGGTGCTGACTGGATGCCCATCGCCCTCGCGTGATGCTCCCCGAAATTGTCAGAAGAGCGCCGACACGTCCCGGCTTGGCTCCAGCACCTCCCATTGCGATAGAGAGGGGGCCGGCGGCACAGGGCGAAGCCCTTGCGGATACATCGGCACCAGACTATCTGAAAGTGTGGTACAGCAGCTCGACGCAGCAGACTGCGAGCTACGCTCGGTACAACGACGGGCCGGACACACGAACGTGGTGTTGTCTACTGGACCCGCCGTGCTTACAGGAGGAGGAGGAGGAGGAGGAGGAGGAGGAGGAGGAGGCGGGATCGCGAACCTGAGGGAATTTGCAGAAAGGGTTTTCGCCTCGGGCGCGCGAATCTGCCGTCATGGGCCCAGGGGGCGCAAATCCGCCGCGATTCACCACGGGCTCCAGGCCTCGGGAGCGCGAGTCTGCGGAAAGCTGCACCCAGGATCCTTGGCTGCGGGAGCGCGGACATGGCACAACTCACACAGGGATTCTGGCCTCGGGGAGCGCGAGTTCGGCGCAAGCGGCAAGGTACGAGGGATTCTTGTCTCGGGAGCGTGGACCTCGAGTACTTTCGCTTGCGCTAGGGCCCCGGGGACACGTAGAGCATATGCGATTGATTACGGGGTGGTGCGCAAGTCTCGGCTCCCCCCTCTTACCGAGCGGACTATCACAAGTTGCAGCAGGACGCAGGAAGAAGAGCTACAGTCAAAAACCCTAATAAGGACGCGCGACTTTGCTCAGGGTACCCTTGTGTCCTTGCTCTTCCTTGCTCTTGCGTCCTTGAGGTTTTCGTCGTCCGCCGCCCCAAAAATCCCAACTTCGGCTTCCAAGGATCTTGCGTCCTTACCGCGCGTCCTTATTAGGGTTTTTGATTGTATCGAGCGGATAATCACAAGTTGCAGCAGGACGCAGGCAGAAGAGCTATGACACTGGAGGCTGGAAGCTGGGACTGGAGCAGGGTGCAGGAAAAACCTCTTCCCCCGCGGCCTGCTGGCCCCCTTCCGGCGGAACCGTGCCCCCCTCTCTGGCCTGCTGTACACTTCTGCTGGCTCGTGGGCGCCGCCCGAGACCCAGACCCCCTCGACGTCATGCTTTCTTCACGGCGCGGCCCCCAGAGTCAGGAGGGGAAAAAGTACACAGACA